GTTAGCACCCACCAATCCGCACTGGGCCCGTGTGGTGGGTCATGGCCCAATCTTCCTATTCCATCCATAGGGAAGGTCTGTGCCACAGCAGTGGGGACATTAATAGGCTGATGATGATGATGATGTATTTATGTTGTGTTTCTAAATATATTTTTCTACATAACACACTTATATATGTATCATTATGCATACTTTTTTTGTTACCCAAGTACTATACTAGGGTTATGTATAAAACACGTGTTATATTGTATTCTATCAATCAGTCCTTAATTTAGAGCTAGGCTAATTGGTGTAGGATTCAGAAATATTTATTTACCAATTTGAATAAAACAAATCTTCATTAGGAAACGTTTAATATAGTAAAACATTAATTTTTAAATTACTAAAATATACCTAAACATTTAGACACACTTGACGAATTATGAGCACTTGAAATTCATTTGAACTAACTACCTAATGGCTTAAATTTAGGTAGCTGAATACAGTAATCCTACATTGTGTGTGAAATGTACAGACAGACAGACTTCAAATTACCACAAGCTTTATATTTATGATCTTATATCAAAAACTGCAGAGCTCAAAATCAGAGGAGTATGGCAGTTTTGGGTAACTTGAGTCTATTTTATTTATTTTGAAGGTTAGGAAAACGCGTAGCGGATACTTCACCTCGGGGTAAAAGCCGAGGTTATTTGAGATTCCTCGTGGCTGTCTGCACTTTGATATATAAAATAACAGGTTAACGATGACAATATTGATGGATAAAAGTTGAAAGAAACCAAAGTCAATACCATTTTCTCTCTTATATAAGTACGGTGGCAGTCAGAAAATGTTTACAAGTTTTCAAATTAGATTCTACGTCACTTTTTTTTTCACTAAAGTCTAAAATGCCATATCAACAACTGCAACAGAATTCCCGCCCATTACTTATGTTCAAGAAAATGCACGGATACACACGGCCCGTGCTACTATAGCGTGGTTCAACCTGCACCGTGACATTCGTCCCATTCAATGGCCCGCTCGGTCTGCTGATTTAAACCCTATTGAAAATTTATGGGAGCTTATGGTTCAATGTTAGGACTGTCAAAACCCTCATGATCTTAGATCACACTGTGCTCGAGTATGGGATGATATTAGAGGGACCGATCTATGCGCGCATCTTGTTGCATCAATGCGAGATAGGCTACGTGCCGTCATAGCTGCAGAGGGAGGTTATACTAGATATTAAATAAAGATTTTTGAAGTATCTATTTTATTATTTCTTCATATTCTTAGACAAAAAACTAATATATTAGTTTTTTCGATGGTTTTTTATATTTGTTTGACGTTACGGCTAGTGCAGAGGTCGTCGCCTACTGCGCAACGGGTCGCGGGTTCGATTCCCGTACGGCACAGATATTTTGTATGGCCTACAGAAATTTGTCCTGGTCTGGGCGTATGTGCAATGTGCATGTGAGATTATATGTTATTATATTATATTATATTATATATTATATGTAATTACACCTACAATACAAAAGGAAATCCTAGTGTGAGGCGAAGTATTTAAAAAATATATATATATCAAACCTTGATAGTAGTCAATCCATCGCATAGAGCGATTGATTGTCATATCCTTACAAAAGGATAATCTATGGTCAATCAAATTATTATGAAAAGAACATTTAGAACTTGTGACCTAAATGTGTGCATGCGATTATGATCCTTAAGGTGGTAAACATTTTCTGACCGTGACCGTACATACCTAGCTAGTCAATTCTGTCCTCTAAGACACGCGAATCAGAGTGTTTTGCTATATTATTAACGTATTTTATGTGTACAAAAATATACTCATCAAAATAGGCTAAGCAACACGTTGCACGGTTTTGAACTTTTGAACATTTTTTACTATTATTATATATTTATACTATACTATTATAAAAACAGTCGATTAGTTTCCATTTTTAAAATCAGCCAATTATATTTTCGAGAACAAAAAAGATAGTATACCAATGTACTCTGCTAAGAAAAAAATACATCAATTAATAACACATACAGTTTCTGTAAATGGTGCATGTTGCTTAGACTTTTTTTATGTGTGTATTTATTTTAGCCTGAACGAGACTAAGCCCACGTCGAAAATGAAAAATATGTATAAACTTGTTAATCAAAATATATAGTTATATAGTTTACACAACATACTTCAATTTAAGCACATTCAGATATTTACCCTTACGTGTATTTTTTTTATAAAACTAATTAAAATTATGCAAGTCATATTTGTTTCTTAGGTTTTCACGCACATCACTCATTAAATAAAACTAGTTTTTACGGGTTAATGCACGAAACTTTATTTATTTATTGACGTTTCGCAGCCTTTTCAGGACCTGAAAAGGCTGCGAAACGTCAATAAATAAATAAAGTTTCGTGCATTAACCCGTAAAAACTAGTTTTATGCAAGTCAACCCCGATCTAATCACGGATACTTTAAAGTGAGCCTTTCTGTTTGTTAACGTGCGCAAATGAAAGCACATTATAACAGGATTTTATATAATAACGATTGGCCACTTTTCTTTTTAAAAATTGCAAAAATACAATATAATAAAAAGGGAGTCTCTTTATTACATACAGTAAGACAAAAATCGCGATTTTATAAGGCATGCGTGACCCTAACTTACATTTTATTTAAAACATTAAAATTTAGAATTTACTTAAAATATGTACGAATTAAATAATTGACAGTTAAATGTCATAATAACAGGTGTCATTTTTAAGTAAAAATAAGTTTGTTGACATTCTTAAATATACATTGCGCTGTTAGCGCTACTAAAATTATGCAAATTTATCTAATAAAATATTCTTTCGCCCAAACATACACTGAAGTTTTCTTCGTTACCTATACCATAGGCAATAATAACTTATTTTTTATTAAATTCTTATTCATGTCATAAACATTAAATTTTAGTATCAATAAAGTAAATATGATAATTTAATACTTATACAATAAAGTTTACAATAACGTTTCAGATTTCGTTAATCCGTTATGATTGTCAAATATGATGTGACGGTATTTTTTCCTCACATTAATGGAACACCGTGGTTTCTCATTCTTTTTGATAATATTTTCATATTTTGTACCATATCACACATTAATATCATTATTTAAAAATGTAAATAAGTTTATAACGAAGGAATAATATATAAAGCCTTTATTACAGATTTATTTTTAAATTTGTGATTCTATACTTTTATGAATACCAAGGAATGACAAATATTGATCATAACCATAGATGAATGATTCATTCATCTATGGTTATCCAATTCCAATCATTTCTCTATAAATCATAACATACAAATATTTTCTAAACAAAATCTTATATAAAGAGATTCTAGAATGCATGTATACGACGGACTATGCGTCTTCATTTTTTCTTATTTTATTGAATTCATATTCTTCAAAGACTTAGTTCATTTATTATTATGACAAAATGGTAAAAAACAAACTGTAATATTAAACCTATAATTATATTTTTTATAAAAATTCATATTTTTTTTATTTTAATCCCAAAAATATTTTATTATTTATTACCTTGGCACTCGTATCTATATCACAGATCCTTGACATCAGCGTTCATATATATGAAAATTTTACTAATTCAGCACCTTTACTAGACTGCATCATATTAAATTCAACACTATCGTGCAAACTGTATATAACCCAATTTATTTCCTATAATTTTACTAATTTCATATTGTTCCCACAAAAATATTTCATCCGTCCCAGTGTAAAATTACAAGTTGTTGTCAATTCTACCATTTTCCGTCACACTGCATAAATAACTTTTAACCCCGTCTTGTTTCATTTCAGGTTCAAAAAATTTTCCTATTACAGAGTCTTTGAAGAATCCTTTGGGTTCAACCAAGGTTTCGAATTTAGTTTCTATTGAAAGTTTACGATTTTTATTTACATTGGGTACACTCAAATCTAATGAGTAGCTATGTTTCATCGTGTTTTGCCTCTTTATTCTATGGTACTCGTCTTCAGTTCTGAAAACATTGACTTTTGCCGAGTCAGTGAAATGTTCTTCAAAAGCGGCATTACCGTATGCGTTATTACCAATATTGACTTCATCATTCTTGTGTTTGGTTGGTTTACTAAAGATAAGATGTTCAGTGTCAATTATTGTCAGTACTGGTGAATGTTTATTATGAAATAGTTTACAAGATTCACCAAATAAGTCAAGTTTCTTGTGACTATTCCCGCTATCGTCATCATAAATAGTCTCACCGGATCTTTCTCCATCAGAAATCGTTCGGTTTTCGTTGATGGTACACAATTCTAGATCTCTAGGAAACATACGGCTGATGTTGTTGTTCATCGATTCAGAAATATTTTCACTGAAGACTATTCTTTTGGAATCCCTAACCTTTTTAGGAACACTCGAGACGGCGCTTTCGGATATGTAACGAGTTGATTCGTTGTTGACGGATGGTTTGTGTGCTGGAGACATGTTAGTGTTGTTGAATCCTTTCTCCGTTGACTGTGTTCCCTTAGTGTGCATGCCGAAGATACGTTTAATGGACTGACGAAACTGTAAAAAGGGAAACATACATTTAAACGAAATACAAAACTGAAACGTTGTGTCGTCCTTAACCAGTCCAGTCTTCGATCGAGTAATATATAAAAAAGACATTTTATAGACAACTAAATGAATAAGTTACAAATATCCAATATATTACAAACAATTATAACAATAATATTTTCTGTCGTAATTCTCGTCGTTCCGTTTATTTCGACGACCTCCGTGACCGAGTGGTTTGTACGCCGTGTTTCATGGTGTCACCGACTCGAGAGGTCCCGGGTTCAAATCCCGGTGGAGGCAGATGTTTGTGTGATGAATACGAGCATTTGTTCTCCAGTCATGGATGTTTAATAATGTATTTCTATATAAATATACTTATATATGTATTGTATATGTATTCTATCCGTTACCCTAGTATCCCATAACACAAGCCTTGCAGTGCTTACTTTGGGGCTAGGCTAATTGATGTGAGTGTTGGAAGAAATATTTATTTATTTATTATATTATTAATTTCGACGTTTTGTGTGAGAGGTATAATTACTACTTTGCTTTAATAGGCTCTACCTGTAACAAAATTCGAAAGTAGAGTTACTTTCTAATACTTCTTCTTTAATGTGTAAATATGCTAGCCAATTTTTATGAATTCTAATTTGGAGATAAAGAGGAAGTGGACTTCGGAGGATATATTTTACACAAACAAAGTGACGTGGCCTCTCTAGTTTTATATAAAAAATCTACAAGAAACAAGAACTCACTTGTGTATTCATGCCGACGTAGATAAGAGGATCGTAGCAAATGGAACTCTTCGCCACCAACGCTGGAATTACACCCGCTCCCGGTGAAATCTGTATACAAACAATATAACTAAGGTTAGAATAATACCTTGGAACATATTCAGCATTCCGTTTTTTCCTTGATTTAATTTTTAATACACTAAATTTGGAACAAATGATATGCAATGCAAATAAATTTACTGACGTAAGTTTTTAGAAAAGTTTTTAGTGAAAGATTAAACTCTTTTGTAGATTTGTGCATTCACCGAACCATACTTAAATATTAAGTTGTCAAACTATTTGTTTCGGACACACGTTCGGACACTAAAGTATTTTTTTTGTTTGCTGCTCATTTTAATGGTTGGTGGGAAAACACTAGATCCATAATATTTTTATAGTGTTCAGTAATGTAAAAACTATAAGTACAACAAATTTGAAAAAAGTATAAAGGTTGGTAAGGACATAATTTTAAACTATTCGTCGCCACTATTCGTTTTGTCTATCACCAATGAAAAAAATGTGCTTATTAGTAAACAAGAACGGAGATTTCGTATCTTTTCACAATCACTATTTTAATCACTGTATAATATAAGGTAGGCTGTTTTTCACATACTAGATAAATACGCGCGATAGTTATCCAGTGCACCCGCATTTTCTGATAAATGGCGGTAACGATCTTTTTCCTTTCTTATGGTTTTTTAATAATTCACTATGGTTCTATAACGTTCAATGTAACTGTACTGTCGCTTATAATCTAGGGTAGATAACGATAAAAATTGTGTTATGCAAAAGAATCTCTAGCAAGCAAACGGGTTTTAAGAGGCTGTGAGCCTGGGGGTCGTAACACAATGTTTTGTAACCTAGTACAATCTTCAGCTCTTTCAAAGAACTACATTGTTTTTACTGTTATTGTAATTCAATACCCTCTTTCTTAATTATAATGTTACTTTGTGAGAGAAAATAAATAAATCATTCATTCATTTTTTCTTTTCAAAATTTAGCATAATGACTACTCACTATGCCCTCAGTAGCAAACTGCTCCATCAAGGCAAATACGGAGTATGGTGTCCAGGCAACCGTAAACGCCACGATCATAATGAACACCATTGAAGTCGCTCTTGTCTCCGCTCGACTGACACGACCCAATCTTTGGGCGTTCTGTAAATGAAAATCAGTTATTATAGGCTAATATAGCCCTTATGAGTTCCACCTTCACTTGATATTATGTATATAAAACTATGAATTTTCTAATAGTTTTCAACTTTAATATTTCTCTCTTTTTTTCCAGTATACAAAAGAATGAGTACCTAGGTACTCTAGTCAACAGAAAAACGAAAAAATGAGAATGCTGCACTGTGAACTATGGACGTAAAAAAGAATGCCGGTTCCGCAGTAATTATTTTCTGTGACACTATGCAGACCATTAATATGGATGAAGAAGCTAAAAATTTAACAGGGACAGATATAAATTGCCAGCAGTTGAATAATTTAATGGGGCGTAAAAATGTCTAGTTTGTTCGGAAGAAACTTAAAGTTGACGAAATACTGCTTTCGTGGTTGGAGCAGTGATATTTACTTGCATAAAAATTGTTGATTACGTAACCGCAAATTATTAATAATTTTCCATCTTTTGTGAATATTATTTCATGGACGACAAAGATCAAAGTTAATTAAAGATATGTTACTGGTGGCTGTCTCTAGAATATACCTTCCTTTTTACGAGATTTTTATCTTTATATACAAATCCTCCTCTTTGTTGAAACTTTTGGAACATGTTTTACATTTCAACAGAAAAATACTCGACTTGTACCTGCAATAATTAACCAGCTTGTAACTGAAACATTTTTTGTCTGTGTTTTTTTATTAATTTCAGATATAATGGTTGGTAATACTGATGTTTGAAATCCATCCCTTTGTACACAGAATTCTAAAGAAAACATTATGAGACATAATAGTCAAAGAGCCAGTGTTCTGATATGCGGGCAGACCACACGATACTTTCTCAGTCGTGCTATTGAAGTTGCATGATTTTGGTTTTCTCACTCTTCATTTCGCAGGAACTAGTGTTTCAGCAAAGCTGCAATTTATGTATTTTTTACATTATTATTATACATGTATATTTAAAAAAACAGACAAATAAGTCGGTTCAAAAATGTAGACAAAATACAAAATAGTTCCGCAGTCATGTTAATGGTTAGTTCATTTTCCGAAATGAATAGCGTTTATTCAACAAACCTTGTCCAACCTATTTGAATAAAATAAATGTTTTTCTCTGCAATTTAATAGGAATGTTACCTGACCTTCACGCCATTAATTTACCCTTCCTAGGAAAAAAATAATTTGCCTTGTTTCAGCAAAGCTGAAACTTATGTTTGTTATTTTAAGAATCCGACAAATCGGTCGATTCTAACATGCGGGTAGACAATATAATGTTTTCTCTATCGCGCTAATGTAAAAACGATGGTCAAGTTTAGGTGAATATACATATTGTATATTCACCTAAACTTGACCATCGTCAAGTATTTTAAAACTTTTTTGAATAGAACAGACGTCTTTCTTTTCGATTTAATAGGAATTTTACCTGGTCCTTACTTCATTAGTCTACGCTCCTCAGGAAAAGAAAGATCTCATACACCTTGAATGTTGTAACGGTCAGCTGCAGGTCGCGTCATGTGAACGCATTTGCCATTATGTGTAATGTTTTTTTACAGAATGTAGTATCTCTGATGACGAAGGCGATGAAAATCTCAAAAACTTGGAAGATTTGGAGTGCTGTATTGAATCTACGGAAGTCTACAGTTCTGAAGAAGAACAGTGAATCATTTTGATTTTTTTGTCGCCAATATTAAATTTATTTATTCTGTATTTGAATTTCGAGTTGTACGTTTTGTTAGAACAAAATAATAAGCAAAATCATTATTATTGTAAGTGATTTTTTTTTATTTCTTTATAACAACTTACATGTTTATGATTGAAAATAAGAGTTATAAATTATAAAACTTAAAAACACTGTTCACATTTATTCATAGTGATTTGCTGTCATTGCCAGTAAGAGTGAGAAAGTCAATATTATCGTGTATCTACATAAGCATGACTGCGGAACTATTATGTGGTCTACCTGCATTTTAGAACCGACTTATCTGTCTGGTTTTTTTAAATATAAATGTATAATAACGATGTTAAAAAACATACATAAATTGCAGCTTTGCTATAACACTAGTTCCCTGCGAAATGAAGAGTGAGAAAATCCAAATCATGCAACTTCAACTCTCAACACGACTGAGAAAGTATCTTGTGGTCTGCCCGCATGTCATAACCGACCTATGGGTCAGTTTTTGTAAATACATGTTTATAATAATAATAATATAAATAACATATATATATATATATATATATATATATATATATATATATATATATATATATTTTAGATTTGCTAAAATAACGCAAATTTTATGAAATTTCGAAAACTATTATATTATATAAAATATAGTAGGAACCGGAACAAGTGTCTGCCATTAAGTTATTCTATACAAAAAAAAAATATTTTAAGATATCAAAACGGCAGACATGCTGCGATCACGTTTTGAAAGTCGATTTTCATGCTTTTCGACTTTTAAGCACGCCTAAAGGAATCCTCTATGGGAATAGTGAACCCCCATTTGATCTACGGCAGATAAATTAGTATAACTAGCATAAATATGTAGTTTGCTACGGAAATACCATAATTCTGCGGAACACTGGCTCTCAGTCTATAACATGGTCCTGGAAGTATTCACATTGTGAATTATTTTTTTATAAATCAAGTGGTTGAAAAAATCGGCTCCTGAGAAACGGCTATGGAAAAATGCTCCTATTGATTCGTTTCCATTTAACGATAAGTAGAGCGTAAGCATTTCCGTATTGTTGTTGTATCGGAAAAGCTTTCCTTGTACTCTTTTATAATAAAAGTCAGTGAAGGTTATCCTGTTAGACGACGCATCTCTCTAACACAGTAATATTATCAATACAGTATTGTGACTCGGCCCTGTCCTTGAAATAACTGCCTACGGCCGAGCGGGGCGTATCCATGCGCCTACAGTATTTTAATTTCATCTACATAATTGAGTTTCTTTCTAGTTTTGTGATTGTAAATATTTTATTTTATATGTAAAAAAAAATGTTGTGATTGAATTACGAAGTGTTACATAAAATACATGTTATTTAATAAAAAGAATAGATTAGAGACAGAAAAACATTTACGCCTCAACTGAGACATAAGAAAACTTTATTATTAAATTTAATAGTATAATAAATACGCATTCGTATAAAAAGTTTAATTATTGAAGAATTCAAGAAACCAAATATAGCACAATATCGACGATTGCTCCAAGCCATATTAAATTATGTAGGTATCTACTTAATTCAATCAAATATTCACAATACAAACGTAAGCACGGCTAACTGCTTAAAAAGAATTCAAAAACACGACATCCGCCCGCGTCGCCACAATAAAGCGCTTATTAGATGTTTGTGTTCGACACGGTCACTTTGAAACAAGCCATCAATCATCAAATTATACACACATCAAAAGTGTCTAGGGATCAAGCATTTTTATGCGGATTTCTTGAGATTGAGATGTGGCTTTGTAATAAATTTATGATTTTATAAATTTATATGGATCCTTTTTGGTGCATTTCATAATTTGAATCAGGAACTGTGAATCAAATTCGAGTAAAAGATGAAAATCAGCTGTCAATATTTTCCCTATAAAAACATACAACGCATTGAAGACATTATTAGTGCTACTGTTTCCCTACTACTGATTAAAACCAACGTTATTATGGAGCGGCGACGTCATTTAAGCAGGGAAGAAATGCTCAGAGCCGTGGGAATGATAGAAGCTGGTTCCCGGCAACGTACTGTGGCTTTAGCTCTGAATACAAGTCAGAGTGTTATCAGTCGACTTTGGACACGATACCGAAGCACTGGTACCGTGGCTGAGCGCCATGGAGGACGGTATCGCTGCACCACACGGAGACAAGACCGATACATTCAAATCTTAACTCGAAGAGCTCCAACAATAACCGCCATGATGTTAGCCGTGAGGCTTCATCACTCTTCAGGGAACTTAATTAGCGACCAAACAGTCAGAAACCGCTTGCATGAAGTGAACCTTCATTCCCGAAGACCGCTACGGGTACCACCTATAGCAATGCACAATCGTAGGATTCGATATCAATGGGCTCTTGAACACAGAAATTGGGCAGAAGAACAATGGCGTTTCGTGTGCTTTTCTGATGAGTCTCGTTTTGGTATGAGACCGGATACAAGACGTATACGACACTGGAGAACCCCTGGACGCCAACAGCGATTAAAATCCTGCCAGGAAGTCCATCCTTATAGTGGTGGAACCATCATGGTATGGGCGGGTATTTGGATCGGCGGAAGAACTGAGTTGATTTGGATCAGAGGCAACCTCAACGCTCAAATTTATGCTGAGACGATTGTATCAGACGTCATCGTTCCTCTACAAGTGCAAATCGGTCCCTTATTTCAGTTAATGCATGATAATGCACGACCGCACACCGCAAGAGTTGTAAGACAGACTCTCGCCGCAGCTAACATCAATGTCCTGCCCTGGCCTGCTCAGTCGCCAGACTTGAACCCGATTGAGCATGCATGGGATATGCTACAGAGAAGAGCTCTGCCGAATATGGAGGGTATCCAGTCGCAAGAAGACCTTTTTTTGTTGTTGCAACGAACATGGGCGGCCATTCCACAGCGTGATTTGGATGAACTCATTTTGAGTATGCCAAACCGATGTTCTTGTGTTGTTAGTGTTCGCGGTAGAAATACGGATTATTAATTGTTTAAGTTACCCAATAAAATTTTAGAGAAAACTGTTATTTCAGTCTTTTTTTCGAACTTTTGTGTTAGTGGTTCAAATGTCAAAAATCCCTTTATTAGGAAAATGGCAAATTTCTTTATTAATGCAAAGGTGACTTGGTTTATCGTTACTGTGACAAACGAAAACACTTTATTTGATGAATCCTTAAAGAAAATTTTAATTAATATCAATCAGGAGAAAAGTTATTGCAAAAATATATGTTGATCCCTAGACACTTTTGATGTGTGTATTATATATTTTTGACGTTTCAATCTATATATATAAAAATGTTATGTAGGTTTGTGTACGCTTCAAAAACTGAAAAAGTTCTGTACCGATTGAGTTGAAATTTTAACATGATATAAAATCCGCATCAAGGGTTGTTTTTATCTATTTTTTGCATCAGTCACATATCTGCGACCGCGAGAAAACAGTTATTTTTAACGATCAGCTGTGTACCATAAACCGCGCCATTTGCCAGAAGCGAGGAAAACACTCGCTGACAACCGCAATAGTAATGACGCAGTCACATGAGAAACAATTTCGTTCCCAATTACATTGTTTATTTCCAAAATAAATGCATCTGATTCTGATTATTATACAATCTGAATTAAATATTCACTTAAATCAAGAATTTTTGGTGTGATAGTGTTGTGATCGAACTGCGCCTTTCACCAAATCGTAAGTAGAGGTTTTTATATCAAAGATGGACAGTAAAAATATATTTTTTTTGCAATTATTATTTATTTAATATTAATTAATTAAATAAATAAGTAAAATATTAGTTAAATAATAAATCAATAACAAAACATATTTATTATTGAAGTGAATCTTTTTTAATAATCGCGTTCCCGAGTCGGAAAACCAGATAGTCTTTATATCTACGCAGACAGTGGAAAAACAAAAAATATTGTATATCTACAAGTATTGCAAAATTAAACTTGTATGAAATGTATTCTTTGTTTTGTTTCTCATTTCTCAACCATTCAATCACAATGTGCCACTGCGAAGCGTGGCAGGGTACAGCTAGTTTAATAATAATATAAAAAGGTTCTATAATCATGGGCCTAATTCCAATTTTATCTTGAATGTTCTAGACAATAGGTAACCCTACTTGTATTACAAAAAAAAACCCAGTCATACTATAAACTTGCTATCTGTTGTAATATAAAAAAAAAAAAAACAAGTGCGAGTTGTATTCGCGCACGAAAAGTTCCGTATTGCGAAAAGAAAAAACATTTGTTTGTTTTCGTCACAACTAACAAAGTGCAAATCGGCGCTTTCAGTATTTGTTGCTTAAATACCGCTTGTGGGATATCATATACCATTACAATTTCACGTTCCTTACTTAGAGTTTCGACTTTGAGATAGACCCCGTGTCAAAAATGGTCTAAAATTAAATACTTTGTCGGCCCCCCTTAAAGAAAAATAATATTTTCGTTTCCTTTTCATCTATGACCCATGACTAATAATAATTTAATTGAATTTCAACTAAATATTAGACTTTGGGGAAGCATTCTACATAACATGCCAAAATTTAAGTTCTGTAACTCATTCCGTTTGCGATACCGTTACGGAACTCTAAAAACAGAAAAGATACTTTCCTACCTTCTTTAATGTTCTGATGATGTTAACGTAGCTGAATGTGATTATTCCCAGCGGAACAATCTGGCCCATCGCGAACAGAAACATGATGTATGTCAGTGTGTTCATGGACTGTTCGTGCCAGTTCACCGAACAACTGTAACAATATAACAAATAGGTAAGTATAACTTATAATGTATCTTGGAAACACCCTTACCACTTAGAGGTTTGAAAAGGAGTTTAGTTCAGAGCACTTTGGCATGAGAATTAATTTATATGTTAAATTTAACTTCGAAATGGTAAGAATTAGAAGCTCGACGGCGCAGGTGGGTCATTAAATGGGTTATCAAAACCTTATAATTCCTAGCTTCTCCGTGCTTCGGCAGGCACTTTTAGCCGTTGTTCTCGGCTGCATCTGCAGTCGTTAGCATCCACTAATCCGCAGTGGGCCCTCGTGGTGTGTCGCAGTACAGTCTCCCCCTGTTCTATTCATACGGAAGGCCTCTGCCCCTGTAAAGGGGACATTAATAGGCTGACGATGTTAAAAAAAGTTTTGATAGCACTGCATACCTTATATTAGCGGCTTCATTCACATAGTTCCCCCATCCCAGGAGTGGGGGGGTGGTCAGAGCCAACGAGTAGGTCCATATAAAGAGGATCGACAGCATTGCCCCCTTGGAGCTCAAGTGCCTCGAGCTCAGGGGTCGTGTGACCAGCAAGTACCGCTCGAACGATATCACCGTCAACGTCGTTATAGATGTTATTCCTGTTAATAAAATAAATGAGTATTAGACAAACGAACATAGTGAGAAGCTTGATGTCATGGTGTGAAAGTTAAGCAACTTTCGTAACAGCCCGAAGTAAAGCCGCCAATACATGTTGATCGAGCATAACCCAACGCGAGCGTAGGCAAACTGATATAAGTTGGACAAGTTTGAAGCCAATAGACCAATATAGACGAGCTTTACGGAGCTGTCTATATCTTGGTGCGCTATCAGTTATTATGGACGAACAAATATTGGTGAGCCAGCTAATTATATCTCAGACAAAAAATATACTTCAGACAAAAATGCTTGGGTTAAAACTGGTCCAAACGTTCGGCAGGCTTTTTCTATAATTATGATGAAGACAAAATAATTTTGTTTTGACACCGTAGCAATATAATATTTTGTAAATATTGTTAGATAATTATTTAACGCTGTGAAGTTTTTTTCGCCAGTTTTTCTCCACAGGTAAAAATGTTCTTAACTGGTGGTAGAGGGAAAAAAAAGGACGATTCAAAAGAGTTATATTGTGCATCCTATTTTAATAAAGATTTTTTGACCAGCGAGTGCCGACAACCGACGCCAATTGCTATACACATTAGTGCTTCCCATTTACTCAACAAATTAGGAAATCGACACTGAGTGAAGAGAAGGCAAGACAAATATGCTGTCTTCTCTGTGTTGGCATTCGCTTAGCTTCAGATGAATATCTTATTTCGGATTCCTCCATGTTTTGGAAGGTATGTAAAGCCGTTGGTTACGGCTGCTTCTGAAATCTTTAGTATCTACTAATCTGCTCTAGGCTCGCGCGTTTTGTTGACGGTAGTTGTCCCTTTTCCTTTTAATTAAAATGCTGGTGATGATGTGAAACAAGAGAAGTAATTATTTTCAGCTGACTTGGAAACAACCGCCTGGGGATAAATCTGAATTCGATCAAAAAAATGTAGCTGGTTTTAATAAACAAAATAATTAAAACGTAGGAGATAATCGATGTTCTGTATTGGAAGGAAGGGTTTTCTTTATCGAACAAATCGCTCTTTTAAAAGTGCCACAATTAAAAAATCTACAAACTCATTTTATAGTAGAAATGTGATTTAAAACCATGATATTTTAGAGTGCAACAAGGACACCCACCATTTTAGCCTAAATAATCAGCAAATTACTGGACGAGAAAGGAGCCTCTTTTTGATATTAATGCGTTTTGCTCACTGATTTCAATTTAAAACCGGCCATTTTTTACCCGACTGCGCAATGCAAGAGCTCGAAGCGCGACGCGCAGTAATATAAAGCAGTCGGGTTTTTTTTGATGTGACTCGTTAGTCAGTGTGAATATAATTATTTTGGTGGGAAAGGGACACAATTCAAAATACTACCTTTATATGAAATAAATGACCTCATCTTTTTCTTCGACGAAGGGCACTTTGATTGAAGGGCGTAATTCTTTTGGTTTACATCAAAAGTGCCACTTTTTTTAAAAAAGTTGCTGTTTTGCATAAATATTATTGCAAGTTACGTTGCCGTTGTACCGAATGCATCATTGACTTGCACCGTTAATGGTGCAGATGAAACTGATTGGTTTCGTTTTCACAGTTAATATGAATACTATTTCTCCTTTCATTAAATAAACAATTAAACTCCAAATCCTCAATTATGCACAAATAATTTTGTAAAAAAAACTCTTTGTTATTACGAAAATTTATGTGATTATAAATACCTTATTATATAAGTAACCGCATTTATACTAAAGGTTACAGTGGTTCGTTTGCACCATTGATGGGGTAAACGAACCACTGTAACTATAACAGTATAGTATTAAACTAATTAGTCCATCTGCACCACTTATATAATAGTGCAAGTCAATTCCTGTTTCTTTTTAATTGTGGCTTTTTGCATTGAACGAGCGAAATGATGAGACAGTTGTAGTATTCACTTGAGCGAAATATACGATCGCTTCAAGCACACATCGGACTTCAGATTCGACACCTTCTTTAGAGTAATATAATTTCTTTCAAGACCAATCGGGTGGAAATATGTCGTTTGAAATATTTGTTTGATGTCCTATAAATATACTCAAACGTCGCATATATAAATATAACATTTTTCGCGTACGTATACATACAACGTGTGTGTGTGTATGCGTGCCGTTTCGCTTTTTACTATGCGATACTAAAAGGAAGTGGACATGGCAAAGCCCCGACACTATGACTAAAAATGAGATCGATTTTATCATGGCGGACATGAGGTACATATTCAGAGACGTCTCCGTGATCAACAGGTTCAATACCGGTAGTGATCACCGACTCGCCCGGGGCTCTCTGTATATCAACTTTAAGACCAAGCGCGTCCGTTTGATGAGATCCAGGCTTTCAACCTAATCTTCTCATCCTAATCATCTTTAACAGGATCTGAAACGTTCCAGTCAAATCTTGAGAACCGATTTGCTGCCGTGGAAACTACATCAGACGTAAACCAAAACCTCGAAAATGTGGTTCGGATCCTCAAAGAAGAGGGTACGAGACTATGTGCAACGCAGTATAAGGGCAGGAAATCAAAGCTTTAGGAAGAAACTTTAGGGCTAATGAAGGAACGACGTGAAAATCCACCGTTATACGCATCACATGCATCTCAACCCGATCCCGGAAATGAGAAGGGAAATGAGCCACATTAATACGCCACTTCACCGAAGACCTGCCAGGAGTCAGTATTGGTGAAATCAAGATTGCTTTTGGACAGCTTAAAAATGGAAAAGCCCCTGGAGAGGATGGTGTTACAACAGAACTCTTGAAGGCTAGAGGTAAACCCGTACTGAGGGAGCTCCAAAAGCTTTTTAATACTGTCCTGTTTGAAGGTAGAACTCCGGAGGCGTGGAGTAGGAGTGTGGTCGTCTTGTTCTTTAAAAAGGGGGATAAGACCCTACTTAAGAACTATCGACCCATATCCCTTCTAAGCCACGTCTATAAGCTGTTCTCAAGAGTGATAGCGAACCGCCTTGCGCGAAGACTTGATGACTTCCAACCACCGGAACAGGCTGGGTTTCGGAGCCGGTACGGCACCATAGACCACATCCGCACATTGCGGAAGATTATACAGAAGACTGAGCAATACATTATTTATTATTTTACAATAAGCTCCTGTGCCTAGCATTTCTGGACTATGAGAAAGCCATTCACTCGATTGAAATCTGGTCTGTCCTGGAGTCCTTGCAGCGTTGCCATGTCGACTGGCGATACATCCAAATGATTAGATGTCTCTACGAAGCCTGTTCAAGTACATGTCTGTTCAAGTACAGAATCAGCAAACAAGTCGTTATTTCCCCGAAATTGTTCACCAATGCAATGGAGAATATGTCGTCATCGTGGCAGAAACCCTGCAGGACCTACAACAGATGCTGAATGACGTAGCTGACTTTTCTATACGCATCGGCCTGCGGATGAACTTGGATATAACCAAGGTAATGTTCAATGAACAGGTTCTACCGGAACCGATTGCAATACACGGTGCCGTTCTCGAAGTTGTTCAAAAATATGTGTACCTTGGGCAGACATTGCAGTTAGGTAGAAACAACTTTGAGGACGAGGTGAATAGAAGAGTTCAGCTAGGTTGGGCAGCGTTAGGGAAGCTACGTTAAGTCCTGATATCGTCGATCCCACAGTGCCTAAAGACGAAAGTCTACAATCAGTGCGTACTACCTGTGATGACTTACGGAGCCAAAACGTGGACACTGACGGTACGGCTCGTACATAGGTTCAAAGTCGCTCAGCGCGCTATGGAAAGGGCTATGCTTGGCGTTCCTCCGAAGGATCGCATTAGAAATAGAGTTATCCATATAGCCTACCGGATTAGCAAGTTGAAGTGGCACTGGGCTGGCCATATTTGCCGAAGAACCGATAACCGTTGGGGTAAACGAGTTCTGGAGTGGAGACCACGTCTAGGCAAACGTAGTGTAGGACGTCCTCAGGCACGATGGTGTGACGATTTGCGCAAGGTGGCTGGCCGAAGCTGGATGCGAGTAGCCCAAGATCGATCTGAGTGGCGTGCATTTTGAGAGGCCTATGTCCAGCAGTGGACTAAGATACGCTGTTGATGATGATGATTGATGATACTATATAACATTTACAGGTACTATCGATACCAATACGTAGAAATTGAAAACACTAACTTCAAGACGGGAAAAAATACACATACTTGATCTGATTACATTCGCATTACTGTCACTATCCCACTAGATAGCGTTTTAGTATATCTCCTATTTCTTATTTATATAAATAATCTCCCAAAGATGTTGCAAGGTCTGTGATGATATCTCTGCGTTGATTTCTTGCTCGAATACTGGCTATATCTACATAAAGGACATTGTTCTGCGTCCATACATAGTTAGCCTCAGAACCAACAATCATGAAATATTATTTTCTAGGTTTGACTTCGCAAGTAAATGACTGTAAAAACAAAGATTATTGACGGACACTTCTGAGAACTTAAATTATTAGGAAAACAATTTTTTTTGAGGTTATGTTTAATATTCAATGAAACATAGGTCAACCTACGAACTTAGTATGAACTCAGTTTGAAGTGAACTAATATTACAAGTAGTTCATATCATTCGGTGCGATTTTAAAGAGTAACTATTAGTAAAAACTTGGTTAGGTAGGAATCATGAATAAAATAAAAACTGTAGTTTTGCTTCTTATTATTTATTAGCTATTTTTCACATAATTGTATCATATTGTATTTATTTGTTTAACACATGTATATTGTGTACATATGCAGCGTGAATGTATATCAGGTGCTCTTGAATAATTTGGCAGTATGATCCTCTCAGGATGTTGTGGCACAGGTTCACTAGCACTTGGTAATAAGGTTTCTGCTTTTTGGTAACATCGATGGCATATTAGATAGCCGAAATAGTAAAAGTTAAATTAAAGGAAAAACAATCGCAAATAAACACACTCAACAGGTAATCCGAAACGAGAATTTTCCGTATATAAAAAGTACCTACTCTTTG